AACAACAACAGGGGAGGCTGGGGAGCAGACAGAGTTTCCAAACGTCACACACAGAGCAGCACAGTTCCATCTGCAGGTCAGCATGTAGACCTAGGCACTGGCTACCTAAAAGGGATGAAACGGCTTGAGAGGATCCATCAGACTCCTTTACTCCCTAATAACCCTGCCTTCTAGCCATGAGCTATGAGACAACTTGTTTCTGTGAATGGCTCGCTTGTAATAATTTCCTAAGTAATTCACCTGAGCTTCCTAGAGACTTGTGGCTGCTGCACACATTTGGCTTGATGGGATTCCATGTTAAGGTTGGCCGAGGTCAGTGTGGTAAAAGGGACTACAGAAAACATGTCTTAGCATAAACAGAAGAAAAAGAAGCAGGAGCATTAAACAGGGAATAAAGCCCACCTTTGAGTACAAAGACAGGGAAAAAAGTACTGGGACAAAATGACACCGTCAGATGCTCTTTCTTCCCACCTCTCCATTTTCCTCCCCTTCCAATGATGTTCTTACCTCCTGTACAACCAAGGCTATGGAATGGACCTATGTAGTAACCAAGAGGTTATTTGATACTTCATCTCCCACTGCATATTTCTTCTCATCTCACAACATACTGTGGTGTTTCAGTTCAAATACATGAGTTGTAACAGAGGCTTTTATGCAGGTTTCCTGGAAAGGGAACTGGTCTTTGAATTAAATAAAAGCACATCATTTCATGGCCTCTTTGATGCCATACACTCCTACAACTTACTAGGACCGTAAAGAGAAATTTTATCTGGCAATGTACAAAGACCCTTCAGAGTTACCAGTCTATTCCAAGTGCCTTCCAGAACTAGCTGCTTTATGGAAAGGTTTCTGCCTGTGAACATCTCTTACGAGTCTCTTCTGTTTCTTCAAGCTAGAAAGGATGATAGCAGGACACTCTGAGAGCTGAACCAGCAGCTACAGTCTCAGATAGCTTGCTGCTATGGTAAAACTCCTGTGCTTGCCGCAGAGGAGCCCTCTCAGGTGCCTCTGATTAAGACTACATCTGAGCATTTTTCTTTTTCCAAATCCCCAAGGCCAGTCACAATGAGTCTGCTGCTCTTCATTATGTCACTGAACCTCTGTTAGTCCCATGTGTAACAACCCTCAACCCTCTCATGTTCCCTTTCAGCTTCAGAGCTGTACCAGTGAGTTTCAAGCTGGAATAATTAGCAGTTATGTCTGCTGCTAGCTTGAAAAACAGCAGCAGGTTATTTTCTCCAGGAGCACTGAGCTGTTAGGCTGCAGTCACCTACACACTTTGCTGGTCTGAAAAAGACACCTTACCTAGCAAAAGACAAGTCCAGATAAAGCAACCAATGTACTGTGCTGTCATCAATTTGTCTGACCATAGTTTTCACATACATTGCTGAACTCGGCCACTGAAAAAATAGAGTTATTAGGAAAAAAAAAAAAGACAACAAGCACTGCTATTGTACTGCCTAGTTCACAGTCCCGTATCTTAACCTGATTCAGCTTATCTGCCTTTCTATACCTTTGACAAATGTATGTCATATCATTTTTTCTTCCCTTCCTCCATATGCCTTACTGTTTTTCCTCCATGTATCTTATCTTCAAATGATGTGCTATTAATCAGCCAAAGACACCCTTCACCGCTAAGTGTTCCTCAACTGATTTTTCATCAGCACAAGTAGTTACTAGTTACAGCATTCCTCCCACATGTTAAAGGCTTGAGGAGGAGGGAGGAGGGATGGCAAGGAGCTTAGAGACTGCCTCACCACATAAATACTATCTGAGACCTTTTTACCAACCTGCCAGTTTGCTGTAATAATAACACTGCTGTTTGTTCTCAACCAAGGTACATGGTGGGAGGAAGTGGGACTGCACCCTGTCTCATTTTTTAAGTTATTAACCTTCATGCTCTTCCCTTTTTCTGATTAATCTGGCTGGGTGCCTGTTCAGTAGTAGCTGAAGCTTAATAGCTGAAACAATGTGTGTATATACACTGTGCCAGTAAGGCTTGCCCAACAACGCTCATTCTGTCATCTTTTCCCATGCCTGGTGTCAATATCTCATTTCATACGCAAGCCCCCAGAACCAGAGTAGAGCATAGGAAAAAAGACGGGCATGGAGGGAGGGAGAGGGGTGGAGGGAGATGGAGGAAAAAGAGAAGGAAAGAAGAAAGTAGGGGAAAATTACATCCCTTGGGAATGTCAGCTGCTATGAACTCACCCACTTCTCACCATGAAACGAGCTGTGTGCGGGCACAGGTGGGTCCCATTCTCTGTTACTAGAGCACAGCCTACGAGCAGGGTCTAAATGAGGACTTTTCATTGCTGTTCCCTGTTTTTATTGGAGTAAGGCCATCACAAACATTTGCAGGTGGCTTGGCCATAGTCTGACACTAAAATATTTGTGGTTGTGATAAAAATCAGAATATTGCTACAAGATGGTTCTATATAACCTTTAGGACTTGATCCTGCTCTTACAGAACTCAATGAGAGTATTACCCAGTTGCTCTCTGCTGGTTTTATTTCTCATTAAAAGGCATATTCTCTGGCACAATTCTCCATGGTAAGGACTCATCCACCCTTTGGGGCAGCTTCAGATGTTCTAAAAAAAGGTGGGAATCCAACCCAAAACCACTGATTTGAGCACCTCAGAATTTGGTTAAAAAGCTGAATCATCTCAACTTTGTGAGGCCAAACCAAAACCACCAAACTTTTCTGAACTCAAAACACTTTCTGAACCCATCTGGATTTTTCTTTAGTTGTCTAATACCAAAACCATTGTCCAGTCTGTATTCCTCATGAATAAGTCTTGGATATAATTCTTAGGACTTTTAGAAGGATAAGATGAAGATAAATGGAAATGACAAGATATGTTCTTTGAATAAATAACACAGGCACCACAAGGAAAAGACTGAAGGAAAAAATGACAGACAACAAGGATGCTCAACACTCTGGCAACAGGATGAAGTTGAAAATGCAGCAATTATCTCCTAGGACACACCATGAACAAAAAACAAAAGCTCCTAGGCAGAGGGAAGAATGGGGAACAGAGTATGCTGGAGGTCACACCATAAGTCTCATTCACACACCAACTCACACAGAGACTAAAATGCTGACAATTGCTTCCCAATAGAGCAGCTTTAGACTCAGACTTGGGAAATGTTTGTGTGATTCAATCACAAGGGAGAATTAAGATATGTCATGACAAAGTTTCCCCAATGAGACACTCACTACTGACTAGGAAATAGGCCTTTTTATCCTCAACCCCTCCAAGTTTGGAGATTCTAATCACCATGGCCCTGAACCAGCACAAACCTAAAACCTGACTGACAGGGTCTTGCAAAACCACATGCAGTTTTTTTCTCATTATATAGAAACAATTGTTTGGAAGCCAAGTACAGACCCATATAAAATACCTCACTGCTGACTATTAAGAGTTGTTTGGTTTGGTTTTTTTTTTGTTTTAATTAGGATCATAATTATCACTAGACCTATTAAGTCACAATTTGAACAGTAGTTTAATCATCCTTAACCCAAATAATGGCATTAGCTGGTTTTCTTTCTAAAACTGAAAAATAAACTGTTTCTTTCTCCCTCTCTTTCTCCCAGCCCCTTGTCTTTAAGCAGAATGGGATATATATAACACAACATTCTTGGATTCACAGGAGAAGAGTATTGCACGTGAAATCTCAGTGAACACTGTGTTTTGTCAATATGTAACAAAGGCACACCTATCAAATATATTTACCTGACCCATTCTATCAGACTTCTATATTAAGAACCAAATCCCAAAATAGTAGGAAAAAGGAAAATAGAGGAGCTTTGTCAGGAGCACAAAATGAGGCAGTGGATGGAATCAGTGTCCTGTGCATACTGGGTAACCCTTCCAGAGCAGTCAGTTTCACAGGCCATCGCTGACACCATGGCAGTGGGAGATGGAGAGCCTGTGGTCTACATCCTCCCCCAGCCACCAAGAATCTTGAAAGAAAACTCAAGAATAACTGGATTTCGAGTTTTCAATGCCAGGATTTCACTTTTGAGCTCTACTCTGAAGAGGCTCATCAATTATTTAGACAATGACTGGGGACAGAGACTGCTTTTGCACTTATCATGTAATAGATGTGACCAAATTACAAATGACAGATAATGAATCTAGACTGTGGCTTCCTTCTTAGTCTACTGATATATCTTTTTATCCATTTGTTTTCATGCATAACCTTCCCCCCCACCCCTCACCCCAAATTCAGAGTTGTGTGATGAAAAACTACACCCTCAAACCATCTGGGCAGTTTCTGTATAATTACAAACAAGTTATTGTGACTTATGAGTACCTCATGTTTGCTGGGAGTAACCATGTGTACAAAACATGGATGTTTTTGTTCACACAGCTCTCCAAACAGGAGCACACAGCTGCCATTCAAGCCAATACAATAAGCATCCATGATGTCAATTTATGGGAATAAATATGGATTCACCATCACAAATTGAGCAACTGTTTACAGAGGTCTCTGTGACAAAATCCATTTATCTTTATGGTCTTTTTATTTTGTCTTCCAGCATTACTTAGTTAAACAGAGTATGCAGGAAATAGCCCAATCCCACTGAGCACCCAGAATTTCCATTGAAGGAAGTGAAAGGATTAGCTTCAGAAATACTCCATCTTTCTTTCCAGAGCAGTCATCAAAACAACATGAACTTTGAACGTAAGCAGATAAAAACAAAAATGTGGATAGAGAAAGCAGGACTTCCCAACAAATAAAGCACTCTGCCCTTTATGAAACAAAGTGCCAGGTCCAGAGTAGATGTAGTAACCTGGCCATTCCTACACAGTCTACAACACATTGCAAGGGTCTTTGTAGCATGCTGGCAGGATCAAGTGCAAACTCCTCAAGAACCATAAGAACAACATCTGGTCTGCATGCAACTGAACCTTAAGAACCACAAGAGGAATATCCACGCAGCTGCTGGAGCCAGAGAACTGGAGAAATGAGAACATGGAAATGGACTCACCCAATCTGTCGATTTGTGGAAGGTGCTTGTGTAATGACTGAACTGGACTGTGGAGATGGCATGGCTTGTTGAATCACAACACTGGTGTCATGGTTTGGCATCCTTGTATTTGTCAGCTGGTGAGATCCAGGTCCTGCCATTGCTCCTCCAACTGTGTTATGCATGGAGATATTCTGTGGAAAAAAAATAAAAGCCAGACAAAATGGGACATGGTGGAGGAAAATGAAAATGGAGTAAATGTCTTATCTTGGTTTTCTGTTCTATAGGAGTACTATTAGAAATCTGAAAGTATCAACAATAGGAAGTTACCAGCTCAACAGAACTTGTAACCAACAACGATTTAAAAAAAAAAATGAAAAATAACTGTTTATTTTCACAGGGCAATATAAATGGAAAAATACCCACAAGTTGACTAATCACTCTTCTGTGATTCAGACTCGTGATTTATAGAGGGGATATTTAGCACATATTCTCCCAACTGAATAAGATATATATTTTGTTGGAAAATTACTTCTGTGGTGAGTGCAGGGCACCTTGATTTACTACATGGGTTGTTTACTGTGTACTAGGTCTGCTTAGACTGACAAGCAAATCAAGTTTTATAGTCCCAAAGTAACAAACAGTACATGGTACATCATGAAAGAGCCACTTCTATTAGCCTCCATATATTTTGCAGAGCAATAGCATCCCAGAGGCCTAGAATAAAAGTACTGTATTTGCACATATATAACATTTGCTTCAGGTAACTTGGAGCTCTTAAAAGTTCTTAAAAAAAGTTTACAGATAACTTGTAAGTACAGAGTGAACAAGCCAATGGAGACGAGGATACTACTAAGGAAGGAACTGTCAAGTAAAACTCTCCTTTTATGCCTGCACACACAATACATGCTGTTGCTAAACCACAGGGTTTGACTTGGCCCGTATTTAAAAACAAACAAAACTCTCAAGCCAGATATAACCAACAGTGTATACATACAAAAATATGGTAACCTCAAGTGCATTATTTTTCCTATCAGGCATCAATGTGTGGATTGTTAGCAGTAAGAGGAAAAGAAACTTTACATCATCACCTCATGCTACGCTGAGGAAAAGGAAACGAACACACCTTTACACACACATTCTGCCACCAAGACTCATGCAAAGCATGACTGATACCCACTGCAATACTCAGGATTGAAAACCAAAGTTAAATTTCATTCAGTATTCCAATTTATGAGCCAATATATGTAGGAAACACATAAAACCCATAAAATAAAGATAAATAAAGATGGTGAGAAAGAAATCTCAGAGCTCTGATCAAATGTGGAGGACAGGAGAAACAGACAACATACCAAATCCCAGACCTAAAAAAAAGATTGCATTCTGAACCAAAACAAGAATAAACCCTTTAGAGGACATTCCTCATGGAAAAAGAGCCAATAATTAGAGGACCTACACTGAAAGCCTTGGCTGTCACCCCCCAGTCTCCCAAGTCTTACATATTTCAGGTGATTTCCCAGGCTAGTGTGGAAACAGGAATCTCTCTGTTTCTTTTAGAAGAGTTGTTCCAGTCTTCATAAACGTATAAAGAGGCAGAGGTACTGCCTACAGCAGCATGAGTCTACCTACAGCCGCATGGTTAGAACCAGTATGAAGACTCAGCTCCGAGTTCCTCTTTGAGGAAATAATTCACATAGTATGAATCAGGTTCAGTATTCACTTATTTCTCATAGATTTTCATAAATGTCTCTAGATTACAGACTCCAGACCACAGATTTCCAAGAGCTACAGAACACTGCTCTGCTATATCGTATGATCTCTAAGGAAAAGTGAATGGTGCAATGAGGCCACAACGCCTGGGAAGGAACACGGTATAAATCCATCATGAGCTTTAGACTAGTGTTACCCCAGCAGTTGTCCAGATTTTGACTGGATTTTGTTGTACCATGCAATGTAGAACTTAAAGATTTAATAACAGGTTCCTGTGCTCCTAGATTCAGTATTTTAATTTTATTCTCTTTCTCTCTCTCTTTCCCCTATAACTCCAGCCCTCTGCAAGGTACAAATGGCATAAATTATGATGCTATTGTGCTTGCATAGAAGACATTGTAATTGTTAGCTTACATGCATAAACTTGTAATGGTGTTTCAGAGTTTTAACAATTTCCAATAAGCTATCTTTTCAGAAAGTAGGCTGAATATATGATCCATGGAAAGCAAAACCAGAATGAAAACCTGTCAATGCACCCACGTGTCCATTCTTCTCAGTAATGCAAGCACTGTTGTTGGGCAAGAACTATAACTTTATACTACACTGCCAAGAAAAAGCCTATGATTTCCCAACAAAATGTCAAACTCAGCATGACTCTCACATTCACAAGAAAGGGATTTGGCAATCTGTGAATAATTTAAATTGGTGAGATGCTTGTGAATTTACAGAGAAGTTCAAGCAAGTTCATACTTAAATGGCAATGCATATGCTTTGAAACATGGCAGAAAGGTAACGCGCAACGGATCTGACACTGAGCCTATCTGATCTAGTTATATGCATCATGACATGCAGAGTGACTCTATATCACCAGCACAGCAAGACTAGGCCCACTGCATGCGTCATGCAGATCGTCTCCAGAAGTCCAAAACCAGCCTTGTCATGTTGAGCTCTGCACCTGATTCTGAATGGATCTGGATAGGATATTAATGACCTCCTTGCAGACTCTACTTTGGGCCCTTATAGGAGCAGAACAAATTGGGCAACATCGGCTAAATTTATCGTTGAATTGTTAGTTGGCTAGGCTGCTTCCACCTCTACTTTTAAGGAGTTCTGCATACTCTTCCATCAGGGATTCAAGAGGAACATCCCAGTTTGACTTGCCTTTTCATTCTCTTCCAGCTCCTGAGCCAATGATTAACTGAAACTAGATGGGGAGCTCCCAGCACCTCAACTCAGAGAAGTTGTCAGCAGGAGTGATGATGTGGGTAGAGCTCTCCTGCTTTTAGCACTCCAAGACCCATGCATACTCCAAGAGTATGACACACAGTTTTCTCAGAGATCTTCCCAGCTGTCCTTCAGCAATAGAAGAAAGCATATGAGCTTATTATTATTCATTTTATTAAACTGAACCTAAATGTTCACACAGGGAACGAGCCACCTGCATACCAGGAGCTGTAGAGACATGAAAAACATCGTCTGTCCTTAAGATTCATTTAATGGATCTTAATTAAGATCCAATAAAGTCAGAGGAATTTATTTCCTCTAGGATTAAATTTCATCCTCAAAGTTCCCAGTCACTCCCACTGAAGCAGAAAGGAGGATTATAGCACTGAAGAGCTTTTATAGAAATGCTTGCCTTGCCCATGTGCTCATACTGTACTCTCCAGCAGTATTTAACATTCAAATAAATAAAACAAAAAACAACAAGTCATATCCACAAACCACTTTAAAATCAACATGCTCATTCTCAACCTTTCCAGCTGCAAGAGGAAAGGGAATAGATCATCATCAGCTTGACTTCTCCCCAGTTACACTGTATCCCTCATTTTAGCTTCAAGAAAACATTTGAGCATTTTTCTCCCACATGCAACCATTTAACTTTGGATAGGCAACATGCTTTTTTTTCTAAAAGCTAAAAACTTCTTGAAGTCATGCTTCCATGTTCTGGTGGAGAGGATTACACATCACAAGAACACACACCCTGTTGGCAACCAGAGAAATGACGGCTCCACAGACAAGGCGAAATACAGCCCGTGACTCCAGGCAGTCACCATTTCCACTAAACCTTGGTTCTTCCAGAGAAACACCCATCCATGTCACAGAGCACCACCTTTATCACCTATCTTCATCTACTGAAGGCAAAGGATGAAGAAGATGGATCCTTCCTTTCCAATCCATTGTAATCTCCTGAGTTCCAAACAGAGTTTGTGGTTTTAGACTATAATAGCAGGTTTCTTAACCAAAGCCAGCTTATATTTTTTCCTACTATTCCTTCTTAACTGTGAGGTTTAATGAAAATTGCAGATACTGGTTTTGTACAAACTGAAGATTCATTCAGGATTGTTCTGAGAGAGCTTTTAGGTCACTAGACCTGACACCTATATCCAACTGTACATAAATATAGTTTGCAGATTATTATATAAATTCTAAAGTAAGAAGGCATTTGCCATGAAAAATGAAAATCCAATTCACCTAAACAAAGACAAAAGCACTTTCTTGCCTTTTTTCTATTTTCTGCAAATAATCATTTAACTGTATTTTCCCAAACAGCAGCTTTAAGTATTTTTCAAATAATTTAATAGGCATCAAATTTAAAAAAAAAAAAAAGGATAGAAATCAAATGCATAGCAATATTTTAGAATTTCTACAGCTAGGCCTCTCAATTAATATATTTTAACATGGATAAATATTCTAAGCTGCCCCACTTTCAGACATTTTATAATGCATGGAGAAAGAAAACATGTATTTCAAACCTAAAGTCTTCTAGAAGGCTCTACAAACATACAGCATTCAGGACAACCAACGTACACATTTAAATGGCAGTGTACAGTATCATCTTGCCTGATTATGGAGACCATAACTTCAAGATATGTGTAGTGCATGCATGCATAGAAGCTACCAGTGGCACACTCACCCACTGCACATGCTGCTTACACAACCAAAGAACCTGTTGGCTTAAAAACTTGGAAGACATTGTTGTAAAGAAAATTACAGGCTAAATGTGGCAAATAATGGCAGGCTTCACAATTATTTTAATCATACACAATCTCCATCAAAATTACTGAGCCTCTATGGGTTCTCTCCCAACAGAAAAAAACCGATCATCACAAAAATAAAGTTACAAATCTCCCAAAAAACAACACCAACTCATTTATTATCTCGTTATTCAGATTGAAGTGCAAGGAAAACACACTCACAACAGCCCATCACAACTGCTTCACCTGTTAGTAGCATGCAACATCTAAACTGCCATTAGCACAGAACTAGGCTTGCTGTCCACGCAAGGCGAGCAAACATAGCAAAGGAACTAGGGAAGAAAATTGAGATAAAAAATGAACTAATATGGTTGAAGGATTACAGGAAAAAGAAATCCTATTACAAAGACTTAAATTGGAAAAAAACCAAACCAAAACAAAACAAAAACAAAAGGAAAAGGAAAAGTTCTATTATGTGAGAGATGGGAGAGTGTAAACTTGGAGGAGAC